ACCCCTTATTAACAAGGGTGCCTGAACGATGCACATTTGTATACCTAACCCTTAACTGTACCCCACAATTTTATAATAAAAAATATGTTTTTAAAAAAAGAAAAGAAACATCAATATGAAATCCTTCTTGATTAAAAAACTTTGCCAAAAGGCCACATAGAAACATAATAATCTCTATTCTCAGTTATATATGTTCAACATCCCCACATCTCCCTCATTCAAATCGAAGCTATTATTCATCAACCAGACTTCTTAACCAAATGTCTGATGTGAATAGCTATTTCATAGAAATCTAAACCAGTCCTTTAGTTTCACAGACCCACTAATAGACAAGTGAGAGAAAAATCACAGAGATAATCAAGCTTTTATTCTCTACCATGCAGACTTGCTGGGAACTCATGCCTTAGGAAATGTCAGGGCAAACCAGAGACAACATAAAAAACTGTGGAATCCTAGCTGTAGTCCCCTTCTATATCTCTTCATCCATGCATCTGTTCAACACTGCGGACAACATTGAATATGTTGTCTACCTGAGGTAAGCAGGGGTCAACTAAACACTTTGTTCATTCATTTTACTGAATTGGATCACGTTGATCATACTGAGAAATACATACCCTGTTCCTGAGCCCAGCTGTCATCTTCCTAACCCTTTAAACTTCTTGAACCCACACCGGTCCCTTAACTAATGCTGATGAAGAATTTGTTCTGCTTTTCTTTTGACAATCCCAACTGTGTTGTAACTGCTATTTCTGTAGCTGCCACTACCAAATGATGAAAGAAGCAATAATGAGGGAAGTGAGAGGTTTAGTGTCCATTTGGGCACTTATACAAACACTATTTTTTTCTGTACAGTTATCTACCAGGTTATAAATACAAAATTAGAAGGCAGCATGGAGAAGCAATGCCATTACTGGTAAAACTCATATGTGGTTGAGCCTCTGTCTCCCACTCCCCTTAATCAGTGTGAATTGTACATATAACAACATCTCATTACTCCAGCAATTAGACCCTAAATTTCTTCAAAGGTCAATGAGTTATCCACAGAGAGAGCTCCAGGCTTGTGATATGTCTCTCTAGAGTCTATCATACTCAGCTCTGCTAGTACAGCTGTTCGGAGAAAGCAGAAAGAATAAAGAAGATTGAAGAGGGATAGGGTTATAATGTCCTTTCACACAGGTTTCAAACAGGTTATAATGTCCTGTCTTTCACACTAGAATTTCCCAGTGTGCAGTGTGCTTTTTAAGTATTCTGGGAGCAGAATTGGATGTCCAGGTATCCTTAAACACTGGCATTAACTGTGTCTTCAGCCCTTAGAGGCAGCATGATATCCAGAAAAAACACAGAATTTTGAGTCAATACACCTGTATTCAAACTGCAGATTTGTTTTATCTTAGACAAGTCATTTAATATTTTAGTCCCTTTTGTTTTTTCATTTGAAAATTGGAATTTTTGTTACCCATTTCAAAGAACTGTAGTCCAATCCATATAAAAGAAAGCATGTACTTAAAGGAGTCAGATGTAGGACTTGAATATAGTGGGTGCTCAGTGAACATTATTATTGCTATCTTTGTTTTGTTGTTAAATAAGAAACATGGGTTCTGTGTGGGGGGAAAAGCAGCAGAGAGTACAGTTTAATCAGGTAGATCCCAGCAGGAACTGTAGCCCCCATCAAATCTTTTTCAATTTTGTTTGGAAGAGCTTGAGAATAGCCCTGCGAATTTGTTTAGTCTTCACGCTATATATGATAGGATTCAGCACAGGGGGGCCAAGAAAATGGAGGTTGGACAAGAGTGGGTGAACGTATGGTGGAGCCTTGTGGAAAAATCTGTGGACAACTGAAAGTACAACCCAGGGAATGTAGAAGACTGCAACTGCCCCGATGTGGGAGCCACATGTGCTGAAGGCCTTACTCCGTCCATCTGAGGAGGTGATGTTTAGTACAGAGCGGATAATCAGGATGTAGGAGAGGACAATACATGGTGTATCAATTCCTGTGACCAGAATGAGAACAGCTAAACCTCCATAACTGTTCATTTTAGAATCAGAACATGCAACCTTAAGCACATCAGGGTGGACGCAGTAAGAATGGAAGAGGACATTGCGTTTGCAAAATGACAGCCTCTTAATGAGAAAGAGGGATGGACAGAGGCTGATCAACATTCTGAGGACAATTGTGACACCCATCTTTAAGATCCTGGCATCTGTCAGGATGGTGGCATATCTGAGAGGTCTGCAGATGGCAACAAAGCGGTCAAAAGCCATGGCCATCAGTACTGAGGATTCCATAAAGCCAGAGCTGTGGAGGAAAAAGAGCTGGATGATGCATGCATCTAGGGTGATTTCACGAGCATTGAACCAGAGGACACCGAGAGTCATGGGCATTGTGTAGAGGGTCAGTCCCAGGTCAGTGGTAGACAGCATGAAGAGAAAATAGTACATGGGCTCATGGAGGCTTGGCTCCAGTACCACCACCAACAGGATCATGCTGTTCCCCAAGAGAGCAACTGTGCTCAGAAGGAAGAAGGGAACTGAGATCCAGATATGGAAGGCCTCCAGCCCAGGGAAGCCTGATAGGAGGAAGATTGGGAACTCAGATGTGATGTTGCCGAGATATGGCATGGTGAGTGGGTGAGGCAGCACCCGCCTTCACTGAGCACCACCTTCTGCTCAGCAGAACCAGAGTCCAAATCTATCTATGCCTGAGAGAGTGCTGAGCAGGTTCTCCTCTGATCTGTGGAGCCAGCCTAGGGAGAGAAAAATACAATGGCCCTCACTGATTCATCAATTGGCTGCTAAAGCACTTTTCACCTTCATATTACTGCCTCCTCCCTTCTCACGACAGTTTTAGTAAAAAGGGATCGGGAAGTCTTACTGCCTTGCATTGATGGGTAAACTGAAGGAAGAAATTGGGTTGAGAGAGTGGTACCCAGTTGAAAGATACCACCCTACTCTCATGGCAAGCTGACTGCATTTTTATCAGTTGCGAGTCAGGGACAGAAAGCAGACAAAGTCCCTATGAGTTTGAAGGAAGGATTGACATTAACCTCTGAGTTATTAGTTATTCTTATTTGTCCAAACAACTGTCCCTCCTACTAATCTCAGACCCAGAGAGCAGGAAGAATCCCTGTCGGCTCCCTTCTTTGCTGAGTCTCGATTTTCATCTTTTTGGCAGCCTGGATGGGCAGCATCAGCTTACCTGCTCTGGGGTCCTGCGCTTTCACACACACCCACGCTGGGAGATAAAATGCAAGTTATCCTCAGGCGAAAGCTTTATATTGAATCCTAAGGATTCTCATTTATTTCCAAAGGTCCATGGGGGCTGGAGGAGAGGGGTGACAAAACAAATCAAAGCATTTTTTGCCAAGTAGGCAAGGGACTCTCATTCTAAGTAAGATTTCCCCTGGTAAAACCCTAGTGTCTCCCCAATGGGATGGAGCCTTAATTCAGAGATGTGGTCCTGAACAGTTCTATTAAAAAGTAAAGGATACTGAAACAGTTTGAAAACAAATCCCAGGGGAGCAGGAAATGATCCTGCATTCCTAGTGAAGTTCAGAGATCTCTATATGGTGCCAATTATGGTTATCTCACACTTCAGCCATTTTCCACTTCATGAGGCTATCTGTTTAAAACCACATTCTGTTTGCGAAATTTGGAAGGAAAAATATTTGAAAAGAGGGTTGTGTGGGCTGAAGGTTTTCTACATGGTCATTAGGGATTTATAATTAAAATTGTGAAAATAATAATAAAATAATATGATTTGGCTGATATCATATACACCAGCTGGGAATTTGAAAAGTCATGTAGATAAAGACTATTATCAGAAAGAAGAAAATCCGTTATCTAATCACAAATATGCATTAAATCTAGAGGATGTTACAAAATATTTTATTAATTTATCTACTGAGTCACCTTTTTGCTAATGAGACTATGACAATAGGTATACAGATTTTAAAAATAGTAATCAAAGATCTGTGCTTAAGGAACCTTTTCTACAGAGTCTCTTCCTCACCAAGATATGATTTATTGGACAAAATCTTGAACTTCAATCTTACACCGTAGTGACATGGGACTTGCCGTACTTGAAAAAGAGGAATAAATGTATTTTTCATTTTTCAACAATGTGAGTTGTGGCTCATACAGTGACTAGCTGTCCCTGTTTCTCAGGACTGAAGGGTTTCTTGAATGTGAAACTTGAAAACTTGCAAAATGACAGCCTCTTAATGAGAAAGAGGGATGAACAAAGGCTGACCAACATTCTGAGGACAATTGAGACACGAATCTTTAAAATCCTGAAGTCTGTCAGGATGGTGGCATATCTGCGAGGTCTGCAGATAGCAGCAAAGTGGTCAAAAGCCATCAACATGTATTTCTTATAATGCAACAGTGAAAGCAGCCCATCAGGATGTGACGTCTATGTTGCCTCTCCTTTAATATGAGCCTGTGACTATGAAAAAAAAATAGTGGTATGCATCTGTATTCATTTCTTAAGAACTCCATAAAAATTACCACAAACTTGGTGGCTTAAAACATATTAAATTTACTGTCGGGGGGGGCATGATGGTGATGGAACCGGTCACAGTGTGTCTCTGCATGGGTGGGTGTGCATAAGAATGAATCTGTGCATGCGTATGTGTGCAAGTGTTTGAGCAAATGTTTGAGAGAAGACACACAATCAAGCACCTAGGGCTCCCCTGCAGAAGTGGCTGCAACCTATCACTGCTCTGAATTCAGCGCCCCCCATGCCAGCAATATCTGCCAGTTCTCAGGGCATCTCTCAGGAAATAGTGGCAGAGATCAGACACCTCTCAGCACCTGGCACCTGGCCCAACACCACCAACTGGGGCAACAGGTCAGGCACTGGCAGCATGGACCACGAAGAAAATGCAGGGGAGCCAGAGCTGAGTCCCACCAGAGGAGAAGACACTGGCTGGCACCACTTTCTCTGTCCCAGAACCCGGGCAGAGACATCCTTTGGCTCACCCAGTACTGAGAAGTCTTCATCCTGGGACTGAGGGGTAATCTCCTGCTCCCCCCACCCCCGGGATTGATCGCCGTTTTCCAGGAAGGATACTCCAGGTGCACGATACCCAAAGACAGTAGCTGGCTTGGAAACCCAGATCCCCCATCATCCACAATGGCCCAGTCACAGACATGTGCAGTCAGAGTGAGAGGCCTAGCAATACACAAGTAGGGATGAGTCTTGATCCGATCCAGCTCCCACCCCCTAGCAGTGCCTTGGACCTCTGACCCACATGGAGAGAGCAGAGGGGAGGGTGGAGAAACCCAAACCTACTCCCACCCACAGTGAGCCAAAAGCAGCAGTGCTTGGGACTGGTCAGTAAAAAAGGAACCTGAAGTTCCAGAAACAGCCACAAGAGGGAACAAGAGGACGCCCAAAGACTCACAAAGATTTGGGGTCTTTTTTTTTTTTTCACTCACCCTCTCCATATATATCTTTGTGAATGTGTGTTCTGATTTGATTCCCTCCCTTTTCTCCTTCTTCTTTTTTTTTTGCATATGAGTATATTTGAGGTTGAATGTATCTTCAGTTTTGTTGCTATTGTTTTGTTTTGTTTTTTGTTTTGTTCTGTGTTCATCCATTTGTTTTCTTGCTATTTTCTTTTTCTTCTTCTTTCTCTCCATCTTCCTTTCTTCTCCCTTCTTTCTTCCTCTATCCTTGTCCTTTCTCTTATCCCATTTTGGTTTCAAGGGCCCTACATACATTACCACGGCAAGGATGTAGTGTAAGGTGTGAGAAGTGAGTTGCAGGGACTCACACCCCAGTCAGCAGATACTGCAATCTGCAGACAGCTTTTGAACCTTAACTCTTCCCTTAAACAAATCTCAAAGTTGCAAAAAGACAGCACAACCCCCCACCCCAAGCTCAGCTTCAAAATTGAACAAATCCAGAGACTCTACCTAAGAAAGAATAGGGGATTGAACAAAGATAAGTGAAAGCTACCCTCCCTCCCCCCACTGAGCAACAGAATTAAAGAGGAAAAAAGGGGAGGGGAAAAATCCATCACAAATGAAGAAGAATAACACAGGACCAC